GTAACTAAAACATAAAAATTAAAGACTGGTAAGGGAAAGCATTAGAAAAAACAAGACAGGGCAGGGGATTTAGCTCAGTGGCACCGAGCCTGCCTTGAAAGCACAAGGTCCTTAGTTCAATCCCCAGTTCCAAAATAAAAACAAAAACAAATACAAAAAAGACAAATGAATTGAAGATAATGGTTGCTTAACTGTGTGAGCGGTCAACAATTTTTTTCACCACAATCAAATTACACTTTGTACTGGAATAGCTGTAATCTCCAGGACACCAAGTTTGAGCTTTTTTCTTTTTGGTGACAGGGTGTCCTGCTCTATTCCTGTTATTACAGGATGTTTTAGACTGGGTAATGTGGAGGACAGAAATTTATTCCTCATAGGGGCCAGGGATTTAGCTCAGTGGTGCCACACCTGCCTGGCAAGTGCAAGGTCCTGAGTTTGATTCCTGGTACTGGGGGAAAAATGATCCCTTGCAATCAGGAGGATGGGAAGTCCAAGATCAAGATCACCACACCGCATACTTGAATCTGGTGAGAACTCCGGCCTTCTTGCTTGTCCTCGTGTGGCAGAAGGGGCAAGAGAAGAACAATTCCTGCCCACCTGTTCTCTAAAGTCATTAATTCTATTCATGCAGGCCCTCCCTTCAAAATGCTTTTTAAAACTCTGTGTAGGGGCCGGGGATTTAGCTCAGTGTTTCTGCCGCCTGCCTTGCAAGCACAAGGACATGAGTTCGATCCCTGGTACCAAAAATAGAGGAAAGAAAACTCTGTGTGGGGCGGGAGTTTAGCTCAGTGGTGCCTCTGTGTGCCTCCCAAGAGCAAGGTCCCAAGTTCGATCCCTGGTACCAAAACAAACAAACAAACAAACAAATAAAACCCTGTGTGGGGGGGGGTCCTGGGGTACTGGGAATTTAACTGAGAGAGTTTCTTGTCTGAGCTGTATCCCCACTCATGCATTCTTTTTTAGGGTCTCACTAGGTCATTACTACAAGTGTGTGCCACCATACCCACCACATTTAATCACCTTCCGAACACCCCAGTTCCTGGTACTCTCCTATCAAGTTGGCAATAACATTTAACACAGATTTGGAGGAACCACATTCAGACCGTAGCACATACTGCTGTTTCTCAGCCTCCCTGGGAGTCAGGTGAATGAATGATGTGATGGAATTTTTAATGTGGAAAGTGAACAAAGGAGACAAGTGTCACTCTTAGGCCTGGCCCATAAAAATCTCCTGCCCATGATCCACTATGCTTTCCCACCTATTGGATGATCTTTAAAGTCACACAGTGAAGAGGGCAAAGCCATGAGAAGAAAATAAGGTGAATCATCACTTGCACTGAAGTTGCCTGCTTGTCAGAAATCCCTGTTTTGAATGTAAGCAAGAAAAAAAGAAAAGAAAAATCATTACCTATTTTTTAAATAACCGATTTAGAGGATTTTTTTTCTGGTACTTTAGTGCTTCCATACTCCATTTTTCCTCCTGCAACTCCTAGTTCCTCTCCGACCACTCACACAAATGTGATATACTTCAGAGTTGAAAAGGTTGGCATTCTTCCCTCTACATGCATTTTGTTGTGAGACCATCGTGGAGGACTTCTCATGTAAGATAAGCAATGCAGGGCAACAGAGTCACAGGAATAGGCTTGGGAGTTAGTCACACTGGGGTGAGCAAGCACATACCACGTGACCAAGGTACAGTTTTCTATCTGTGCAATTGGAATATTAGTTCTTACCTTAGTTGTTATAAGGCACAATACCCTAGAGAGTGTTTAGCTCAGTTCCTGACACAGAATGCAGAGTAGCAAGTAATATTGCTTCGTCTCCTATATAATTCACTGCAATACACTGGACAGTTTTAAAATTTTTCTGTTATGCTGCACCCTTTTCAATATTTTATTAATTATTCCTAAAACTCCACTAGAATATTAACAACGCCAATTAAAAAAGGTTTATTTTAGGTGATTCATTAACAGTAAAGAAGTAACATTCTTCTTTCCTCACAAATTCCTAGGTAATATCAATCATAGAATAAAGAGGAAAGTTCAGAACTACTCAGAGCCTGGAGGTTTGTACTGTGACTTGTGGTTCAGTGCAGAGTATTCCCAAGGCCCCAGGCGGCTCTCATAATCTTCTCAGAGAATAGATAAACTGAGTGAGGAGATATTTTCTAGGCATTCACCTTTAAACTATCATGCTATTGCTAGGTTTTTAATCTTACAAATTTTCTGTCAGCTTGGCAAGTCTTAAGATTAAAGTCCTATGGAATGTTTGGAAATCCCCGATAATATTTTTACCAAACTGGCTTTCCAGTTGAGTTCTAAACATGTCTGAGTCTAGACCTCCCTTCCTGAATTTTTCAGAAAACATGTAATAGTCCAGCACACCATTCTCTTCCTGTAATACCCAAAGAAAAATGGTAGTTTCACTGCCAGTACCCCATCCATTCCTCTGACACGAAGAGGTGGGATCCAGTTCAAGGCTAAAAATGACTTCCCTATCGGGGCAGAACACATTAAATCAACTTAGAAAACCTCACGTCTGCACCCTTAGCACAAACATATGCACACATGTTTTCTAATGTTGCTATAAACTTTTAAATCTAGCTGTTACTTGGACCTTGCAAGTGAAAAAACAATGTAGTCACAGATGTTAAAGTAAAAAATTGTACTAGATGTTAATTCGTAAAAGATTTTCTTTAAAGAGGAGGATAAGTTTAGGATGTGGATTTTTTTCTTCAAGAGGGAGAAGAAAAGGAGAAAGAATATGAGTGAATAAGAAGCGAATCACATCTTGAAAATCCACGACAGAGGAAATAGAGGTACACTGAAGATTGTATCTTTGTCAGTGGACATAAATTCCCAATAAGTATGAGGCAAAGAGGCTGAAATACTAAAATGGTTGATTAGTGACAGTAGCAATTGTGGATTCTCCCATGGAACACAATAATTAGTGAGACTGAAGAAGAAAGAATCTACTATAATTTACTTGGATACCACCCCCCAAATAGATGGGGTAATCATTCAGATAAATCAGAGAGATTTAAAAATTACAATGGTTAACTTTTACCAGACTAAATATCTATATTCAGTATCAGTTAAGCATTTACATGTGCTTATAATTTTATGAGTAATTTCAGATAGATGAGTAGGAAGGAAACAGGATTTTTCTTTTTAATTCTTTTTAAAAAATAAACTAAATCTTTATTGGTACTTTTTAGGTATACAATACAGTTACATTCATCATTGGGATCTTGTACCTTTACATGCTGTATCTTGGTCCTTATTTTTTCCTCATTCCCCTGCCCTGCCTTCACCCCCTCTACCCTTCCCTGTTTACAAAGACTTTGTTTCCATTTTTTTCCTTTTCTCTTATTTTTTCTCTTTTCTTTTTACCTTTCCCCTGTCTGTCCCATTTGCCCAATACCTTTAGACCTTTTCTTCCTATTACAAAATATCAATTATACATTTTGATCCTTATTTACACTTTTAGTTTATCACACCAGAGAAACTATATGGTATTTACACGTGTGTCCTATTAATTTCACTTAAGAGTATGTCCTCAATATGCATCTACTTAGGTGTAAATGTCTCTAGTTTCTCCTTCTTTATGGCTGAGTAGTACTCTATTTTATTAAAAAAACCATCTTCTTTACCTAGTCTTTAATTCTTCAGATTCTATTGAGAGGCTGGGGATTTAGCTCAGTGGTTCCGCCGCCCACCTCACAAGCACAATGACCCAAGTTCGATCCCCGGTACCAAAACAATAACACAACAAAACAAAAAGAATTCTGTTGACTCCAATTGTTCTAGTTTCTACACTGTCAAGTAATACTTTTGGTTTCAGTGTTCACTGTTATTGGGAGGAGGGAATCTAAATGTTTCAAAAAAACAAAAGACTTTGATTTAATTTTAAATAATACAAAACAGAAAGTAATTAAAACTAATGAGGCTTCAGCTTATAAATATTATTGCATTAGAAGAATAACAACTTTAGGAAGTCATAAATGTACTAGTTCATATTCCCGAGTTCTATTTTTAATTTTTGATTGAGATTTATCTAGTTTTCATGTTCCAAAAACCCATGCTTAAGAGGCCATCAAGTAAAGGAAATGATTAGACTGTTATTTAATTTAGACTTCAGAATGCTGACCACTAAAGAACAAGCTCCATGTCAAAACTTGCTTATTAACAAGGGGAACCAATGATCTTAAAATTACTCTATACGAGGAACTAAACAACAGGATTTTGAAATTGGAGATACTATTTCAACATAACCCTACACATTTGATCAGTTATCTACATGAATGCACACCTCTCAACTGTAAGATTTCTAAGTTGAAAATCAACTACAAAAGCTCATGTGACAATAAACCTACAGATCAAAACTGCAAAGTATGTGGGAATAGTTGAGACTTGCTTAAGAAGAAAAACAAAGTGCAGTACTTTCTTTTGAGACTAAAAGCAGACTTAAGTTACAGACAAATGCATTAAGTATTTTAGAGGAAAAACACAGTAGTGAAAAAGAGAATCCTGTCCCTTAGAGTGGACTACTATTAAACAGACAGCTGAAGAACCTAAATCAAGTCCACATTTTAGTAGACTTACACAGGCCACAGCAGATCAATACTAATGTCGCATTTCTAGGGTGTTGATTACATGACTAATTTAAGACGTGAACCTAGACTAATTCCTGAGCTCCTAAACATTTAGTGATCACTAGAAGACTAAAGTTCAAAGTCATTTTTTTCCTGAACATCTAAGAACTGCAACTCGGCACAGTAAGTTATAGTGTAAGGTCATATAAATAATGTCTTCACAGTTTAAGGGGATAATGTCATACTGTTTTCATCAGAAAATCCAAAGATCTCAAAAAGCAGCCTGCATTCCTCATGGCATGCATAGGCGAGGTTACAGTTGTATGTATCACTGTGTTCTAGAGAAACAGAGCCACTAGGGTATTTGTGTATACGGAAAGACATGTAGCACAGGGCGCTGACTCACAGGAGTATGGAGGCTGTCAAGTCCCAAGAGCTCTGTAGAGGAAGATGGGAAACTGGAGGCCAGGAAAGTCAATGGTGCCACTCCAAGTTGAATCAGAAGTCTGAGGACCCAGAAGGAGGACAATGTAGTTACAATCCAGAGGCTGGCTGGGTAAAATCCCAGAAAGAAATGACATTTCAGTGTGAACAGTCAGGCAAAAGGAAGTCTACTTGAGGGCATGTCACTTTTGTTCTTTTCAGGTCTTCAAAGATTGGATGAGGCCAACTTGCACTAAAGAGAGCAAGCTACTTTACTCAGTACCAGTTTGAATGCTTCTCTCATCCAAACACCCTGGCGGAAACACTCCGAATAACATTTACTTAAATATGTGGGCCCCCCACGGCCCAGGTAGGTGAACACACAAAATTAACCATCACATGTCTGATGGCTGGGGTCATTAGTCATGCTGTCTCCACTGGGGTGTGCTTTGTACTGAAGCAGCAGCACAGGGGTAAGGTAAAACACGGCCAAGGTGCTACTCTTCCTGTGTTTGACTTTTGTCTCCAGAACTTATTGTCTGGGTGATCTCAGGCAAATTATTGCTTTGTGCGCTTAATTTTTCTTTCTCTCTTCAATTTCTATGGTTTTATTTAAGCATTAATGAAATGCACACGAGTTGTCTATTCATTTCCTGTCTATTAATTTTCCTCCCTATGAAGTGTAGCATTGGGATTGGTGACCGATGGCCCCCAGGCTGCTCTGTCACAGTGGATTTGTGGTTGTTGGAGGACACACTGTGTGCAGATCTTAGCATGGTGGGAGTGGTTGCACACCAGCAGTACTTCTGGCTCCTGAGTGTGGACCAGGAACTTATGGAGGACACTGGTGAGCACATGTTTTGCTTTCTTGTTGCTTCCATGACCAGTGCTGGGCATTATGATGTGGTCATCGAAACTTCTCCACCCTCTGCTGTCAATACTTATGTTTAATTTTGATCTCTCAGTCTGACTGCCACTGGATGGACTTCTTGGTTCCCTTTTTGATGATCTTGGGCTTCACTGGAAGTTTGACAGCAGCTATGATTCAGGGGATAATGGGGCCAGGATGTAGACCACAGAAATGTGGATCATCACTGATTAAAACTCAGTTCTAATTTCTGACTAGTACATTAGGGATAATAACAGTTCCTATCTCATACTGTTGTTGAAAAAAATGTGACATTACATGTAAAGCACTAGAGGAATAACTAGCATATGGTACAGATTCCCCGGTAACACATTATATTACACAAAATCCATGGAAACAAAATTATTATTATTATTATTATTAATTATTATTATTATTTTGGTATCAGTGATGGAACTCGGGACCTTGCGCTTGTGAGGCAGGCAGTGGCACCACTGAGCTAAATCCCAGGGTGAAACAAGATTATTTAAAAAAATTACTTCATGTATTCTCTTGTCCTTCATACTTGTTTCATAAAAAGCTCATAACTTTTTACTTTCTCCTACAGTTTTTTCTCCTAAGTACTCAGTAGCCCATATAACAAAACATGCACAGTACAAGTATATCTTATATGTTCATCAATTGACAGCATTTTAGTAGCAATTCTATGGCAGAGAAACAGTGAGGACCCAGGCAAGAACACAGCCAGCCTGAATTGGGGGTCCAGGCAGGATCTGCTGAAGTAATTCTAAAGGGGAGCTAAAGTCTAGTTTATTCCACTGGGTCTTTTATGGAGAGTGTAAGGGGATTAGTGAGATGGGCTGAGGTGGGGTATCACGAAGAGGGGTGTGAGACTGGAGGAGTAAGATTGTCTGAGTACTTGGCCATAGCAACAGGCAGGTGGAGTAGGTGTGTCCTGTCCAAGCAGAGTAGGCATTGTTCCCAGGCTCAGGCAGGGGGCCCAGGCACAGGATGTAGGAAAGGCCTCTGATTGTTTCTGAGCTCAGGAAATTGGGTGGCTGGAGGAGACAGACAGGGAGGGGTCAGCCCTATCACTCTAAGTCTTTCCTGAAAAGAATGCAAAGAGATGCGAGAAGAGTAAGACATTCCTCTTTGTACCAGATTTTTTAGCCCAGTCGATGAAGACAATTAATATACATGCTTTGGAAGAATTAGAAAACAGTTCAAGATGTGAGAAGAACAAAACTGGGTCTTGGATTTTCTTGTATAGACTTTGGAAGAATGGAGAAACCAAACAGAAAACTAAAACAAAACAAAATCAAACAAATTAAAAAAAAAAAAAACCCAAAGTGAGAAAAAGGCCAGAGAAGTTGGTAGATACAAAATAAAGAGGAGAGAGGAAGGAAGAAAGAAGGAAATGAGGGGAAAAACAAAATTCTCTGAGCTGATTGCCTACCTGGGGTGTAGGGAAACAAAGTCCTCTAGAAGAACTACAGTAGGGCTGTTTGTAAGGGTAGGCTAGCCCGTTCTTTTACACTTCTCCACCTGCCCACACTCTCTCTTTCTGTTCTGTAACTCACCACCTGCTCTCTGTTCAGCCTCTCTGTCTTTGGTTGTGCAGAAGCCGGGCTCAAGTTTTCATGCCTATTTCTACTTTCATTTCCCCCCTGACTTCTTAGGGAAGACTTAGAACAGATTACCTCTGGACTCATCTGTGTCACTGAGTGAAGGTGAGAGGTGTCTGGTGTGACCCTGGAGATAAATTTCCTCATGTTGTCACTGGACAGGGTCTAAGCATGTTTTCAAAGTAGGCTCACTGACTGCCCTATGGAAAGAGAATTATCAGGACCCATCAGTAAGAGGGGTAAGATTTAGTAGGCAGGAATTTTACAATACACACTCAAAGAAATAGAGTGAGGGCCCTAAGAAAGATTCATTGTGCTCTGTAGCTGGGTGTATTTATGGTATCTTGGAGGAGTCTTCAAAATGGATGATCTAGGATGTGTGTTCCTGCCATTTGTCAGGTTTCTCACTAGCAGGCTGTGTTAGAGTGGAAACCATTCACATGAGTTTGAAATTGAGATACACTACCCACCAATATTGCTGCTTCCTTGAGGAATGAGTCTGTGGCAGAAGCACAATTTTACAGGTGAAAAATTGGCCTAGAGTGCAATTTACAGGCTTATTTTGTCTTTCAGAACCTTGGGATTTTTTTTTTTGAGTGAGTTTCCTAGAAGGGGCAAAGTCTTAACTTTTGTGTCCTGAAGCTGCAGATTTTCTTAAAAGTACAATTATAAAATTCTGATTTTCCTTGCCCCCTTTGTGCTGGTCTTTATTTCTTCTGTCCTACCTCCACATGACCTGTCTCACAAGCCAGCAGCCTGAGCTGGGAGCTGAAGGCCCAGACCTCCCCTTCCAAACCCTGGCCTAGATTGTTGGGTGTCAAAGAATAAGAACAAAGCTTAGTTGATGTTAATTACCTAGTAAAATTATACAATAATGGAACCTTACATTTATTGTCAACTGTGGCTTACAGTCAGGATTTTCTTATGGGGAATAAGGGAAAGGGAAAAAAATATGAAAATGTAAAAATGGAATTAAAGTCTTTGTAGGTGGGGAGGGGAAGAGGGGGTGAAAGGAGGGTGGGGACAAGGGGAAAAATGAGAACCTAGACCTGTCATGTAAAGGTACAAGATCCCAGTAATGAATGTAACTATACTGTCTACCTAGAATGCACCAATAAATTCAATTAAAAAAAAAAGACTAAGAATTTAGTGTGATTAAAGGGGAAGAAGCTGAAGGGCAAAAGAGTATAAAGGTCAAGTGGTAAACTACAAATACTTGTAAAAGGGACTGCTCTGCTAGTGCTTGTGGAGAGAGGTGCCTATAAAGAAGAGTGCAGCAAGCTCTGGAACCACAAAGACAGAGGAGGGAAAGTACGGACAGGAAGAGCCAATGGTGACTTGCAGTGGCAGGACAGTGGTGCAACTGTCAAAGGAGGTGGTGGACAGTGGTACATTTGGTAGAGACAGAAAGTGCTACCAAGGTTTCATGGGCAGTTCACCTCGGTCACCAAAGCATCTTGCAGAACTGGGAGTATGTTGGAGGTGGCAAATAAGACAAGTAGGTTCGTTTGAATATTGTACATCCACAGATTCCCTGAAGCCACAGTGAGAGAATGAGTCTCTCGGTAGACTTTTTCTTGGCGGTACTGGGGATTGAACCCTGGGTCATCATCACACTGAGGTACGTCCCTTGCCCTATTTTTAATTTTTGAATTTGCTGAGTCACTAAGTTGCCCAGGCTGCCTCGGTTTCCCAGAGTTTTGGGATTAGGTGTGTACCACCATGCTTGTCTTCTCCCCTCTTTAATTATCCAATTTCTTCAAAGCTATGCATTTGCAGCATTATCCAAACAATGTCTAATTTATGGAGAGCTATGTGAAGTCTTTTTAAAAAAGACAAGATGGTCTTTAAAATTGTCACAAAGGGAGGAAAGTAAAACTAACTAGTTGACCTTTTGCAGGTAGAATCATTTATAGATGTTTCCTGGGCTTCTCTGTTAAAGGCAGTTTATTTCTAATGGAAATGACGGGTTAGCACCTACTGTGTTAATGAAAGTTTATTTTTAAATTCAGACTTCAGAAATAAACTTGTCTATGTCTAATAATGTCTTCGACAAAACTCAGTAATCTAGGTGAAGAGAAGGATGAATTTCTGATTTCTGCCAAATCATGGCCAACTCTTCTCAAACATTGATATGTATTCTGTAGATTTGGGACTGTGTGTTAAGGTAAACATCTTTAAGAATTTGAAGCTTTCTCTCAGGTTCTAGCATGCTCTGGTGGTAACAGTGTTCGATGGAGAGACAAGCCACTGCGTTCAGCTTTGGATTATTTCTTTTCTTGACCTGTGGAATTCATAAATTGGATATCTGTTTTAAAATATTTTCAAAATGACATTTATTGCATGTCCCTATGTGCAAGGCTGTATGTTGCTAAGGGGTAAAGGTTTTGCAAATACTATTCTTCCATTCTTTTACAGCATAAACAGGAAAGATTGTGAGTGGGTGGCTTAGTCAGAGGGCGGAACAGAGGAAGAGAAAGTGCTTAGGACTGGAGTCTACTTATTATGGAAGTACAAGTGAAAGAAATGAGTTCTTTGGCTCTGCTCCCAGTATTGTAT